TTGTGCAGATCAGTATGAAAATTGCAGTGATTGTGCAGGTCATTGTGTGAAAATTTTGTGTGAATTGATTGGATGGTTTTTGCAATATTAGAAAAAAGTTATCTCGATAATAATTTGGCATGCAGTGTAGGTGTTGATCAATTTTTGATGATTTTATTACCTTTTTGTTGAAGTAAAATGTGATTATTTTGTTTTACCTAATAACTTCAGACAGTAGTTTTTTAGAATACATCAAATAACTTCAATAAAACATATTGATACTACCTAAAATTTTAACTTTGGCTTTGTTTTGACATCTAAATTGATTGCTTAAAATTTGACAATTTTTTTTCAAATCAAATTTGAATTATTGAAGTTTATATGATTTGCTAAATAACTTCAGACAGGGTGTATACAATCTATGAGGGACAGCATAAAACAACCAGAGGCATAAAGTCTCTTTGATGTCTAGGGACACCCAAAATTTAACTCTAACCTGTTGAAATAGCAAAAGACAACTAAAGGAAGAGCAATACTTGAGGACTTGATTTTGAACAACTGAAGATCCATGGAGTAGGTATTTCCATCCAAAAATGCCTACTTTAGAAACTGACAGAGTAATTATTGGGAATCAACATCTTCTGAATGTTCAAATCCAGCTTGTCAAGAACCAACAAACCGCCATTATCAGTGCTAATAGTCCAAATTTGAAGGCTGAAGATGAAGAATTTCTATGTAATTTGACATCATTCTTCTGTTCTAAACAATGGCAAAATTATTCTTTCAGTAGACTTCAATGCCATAGTTGTGAAAGATCATTATAGGGTCTGGACTGCAATAATCAGTAAGGAAAGCATTGGCAAGGCAAATATCAATGGAACATTCCTCTTCTACAAATGAGTTTAATACAAATTGGTGATAACAAACATTATTTTGCCAGTGAAACATACATAAAGTCACCTGGCATCCTGCACACTCCAAACACCAACATTTTATCAACTACATCATTATATGATTTCAGGACCAGGATGTACATCCCTACTTACAAATAAAAGAGGTTTCTAGGCTTCATCAAACTAAATGTTCTTAAAAGTAAAGAATGATAAAAGTGCTTATAATATTACTATACTTGCTATATTTTTGACACTACCTTACTTGCTGATATTGATGATGATATTTTATGCTCTTGTTCACCTAATACAGGGCCCAAAAACCACTGAATGTAGAGGGTTACAACCCACCCATTGTTTTATGGATGTAAGAATTGTAGATTATAAAGATATGTAGGATAGTTTGGGTGTTTGTTATATAAAATAGTAGCTCTTGGGAAGAAGCTACCCAAATGGAAATTCCTTCTTACCAATGGAACACAAATGGAATGCAGATGGTTTGCCCCTGTGTACAGGGCTTGGCATATCTTAACTGTCCAGGTCTGAATTGCTGAAACTAAGGAATGTAGCTTGTTAGAACATTTTTCATAGAAATAGTGATGGAGTAGCAACAAGCATGCAATGTTGCATCTGTGGAAAATAGCTGAAGAAAAATTAACACACACACACATATATATATATATATATATATATATATATATATATATATATATATATATATATATCTATACGAGACATAAAATATTTAGAAAATCTACCTCCCTGTTACCGCAATTAGGTATCATCAGGCTGTAAAATTGAATTTTCCATCCTAAGACACTCTTACATACATAAACTTGAGGCTGATAAAAGGGAGAAGGTCATGTCCTGAAAAGATGGAGGGGGGCATTTTATACTAATGTCTCCTCTCACCAATAAAGTTTGTTGATTTATTTATTCTTAACAGTTTCTTATACCTTACTACACCTTTTGAAGTTTTTGCCACTCAGTCTGAACAATTTATATTACTACTGTTTACCGAGTAGGTAAGCAAGTTTAAATATTAAATTATTATTATTATATAAGGTTGTGGGGGGGGGTCATTAAAGATTTGTCCTAACTCACTTCTTCCCTTAGAACCCACTTCAATTTGCAGTCCTCTACTAATAAATGTTTCTATATTTCAGATGTGAATGTGCAGTAAAGTGTGACTGATGGGTGTCAGTGGAGTACAGAGCTGTAATAATGTTGATGTTTTTGAAAGGCAATACATTACAAACAATTTTGGAAGAGATGACAGCAGTGTCAAGACTGGTGTCTACTCCACCCTATAGTGTTAGTCACTACTGATATTCACATTTCAAATGTGGTTGGATGTTAGTGGAAACAGTTACTATTCCTCTCAGTCAGCTATTGAGAGTAACTATCATCTTAGTAAAATGTTGCTTAACCATTCAAAAACTAGCGGACAGGGTCAGTGAAAAAGAAAAAAAGAAAAGAAAAAAAAGCAAATTATTCATGATCTTCTGCATATGCAAAAGTGTCAGTGTGGTGGGTTTCTCATTTGCTCAACCCTTTTCAGAAGGAATCAATTGCTCTTGGCTATGTGTCAAGAAAACCAAACAAAGCTTTTTGCCAAACTAATTACGCAAGATGAATCATGTGTTAAAGCACAATCCAAATAATGGAAGCACTGTGATTCCTCACTATCCAAAAAGACAGGTGTCCAATCTTCTTCTGTCAAGGTGATACTTGTGGTCTTCTGGGGTAAAAATAGTGTGGAGATTAAGAATTTCCTGAATAAAGGTACAACAATAACCAGGATATATTATGCCTCATTGCTGTTGATATTACAGGAAGCCACCAAAACACTTAGATACACTATGTTCAGCAATGGCATCTAGACATTATAAAACAATTCACTAATAATGAATACACAACTCTCCTGTTTAACAAATGGAAGCAAGATTTAGTGCTAGCAAGTGCTAGACAGTCTGATCTCATAAAAATACTGATTCAGCATTAAAGGAAACATCAAGATATGAATACAAAAACATTGGAACAGTGTTCAGTCTGGTCCTCAAACCAATTCTGTGCAACCAATGACACTATGCATTATTCTGCTGGAATAACCAATCATTGTTGTTGGGATACATGGTGTTCCTGAACGGGTGCAAAATTTTCAAAGCAGATCAATGTAAACATCACCAGTCAATGATGTGCTTAGACAGACGAGTTAATCCAACCTCTGCCATATCAACACACATTTATGGAATTATCCCCAGCCTATATGGTGCCTTGTTGGCAACTGGAGTCCATAGCAACCTGAACCCTACCATAAGCCTGAAACAACTGGAGCCATGACTTACTGAACCACAACACACATTGCCAGTTCTGTATGGTCTAATTAATGACACCATGAGCCCAGGTGAAACTCCCATATCCAGTAGAAGCTAAAGAGAGCAGAACTGACCCATTGTATAAAACCTAAACTTTAAAATAAAGTTTTCTATTGGATGAAAGATTCAAAATTAAATATTACATTAATTTTAATTTGTTAAATATTGAACTAATCTGTTTCAGTAAGCCAAACTTTGGTGAGAGAAAATAAAAAAGTTCCAATAGTCATGTTTGATTCTAGAAAGTGAATGACAGGCTATGGATCAAGTATATTTAAAACTTACAGGCATTTTTTAACAAATGCTTCAAGCTGAGTAAAAAAAGAAATTGTAATTATTTTTAGAACAAGAAATCAAACTTGGTAGCAATATTGGTATTTTTAATCGAAACATAATCCAAACTGTCAATTTTTGTTTGTTTCTAGGATTAGGATATTTGAGAAAATTAATAAATTAATCAATGCAATAAAAAGACAATTTGTTTTGAAAAATGCAACGCGTTTGCCTTCTTTGAAGAAATAATAAATTTGAAAAAAAGATTTTTTTAAATCCTTTTGACTAATAAAAATAATGACTATTAAGTGACAATATCAGGTTATTCTAAATTGGAAAAAGTCAAGTTCTATGAAACTATAGGTCAGATTCACCATATAAAAAGTAAATACATCTTAGTGGCATTATTGCCTTGCTTGGGGTGAAATGATTAAAAAGAACAAAAGAACAAGTCAGTCTATATAAATACAAAATTCTACCAGTTCCTTTCATGCTTCTTTTTATATCTCATTTTGACTGGAGTGTTTTCAAAAATGGTATATTGCGGCACTTTAGTGTAATTGTTTTTTCTTTAATTGTTAACAAAATTTTAAAATGAATTATTTCTTTACTTGGCTTGGCTAACAAGACTTAAGTAATGTCATACTAAAAAATTTATCTTTTAAAAAAGTTTGGTAACCTCTGACCACTACAGACATATTTCTATAACATGATCAGCAAATAACTTGAGTTATATCACATAAATTTAGTGTAATTAATTGTTTTTTCTTTAATTCTTAACAAAATTTTAAAATGAATTATTTCTTTACTTGGCTTGGCTAACAAAACTTAAGTAATGTCATACTAAAAAATTTATCTTTTAAAAAAGTTTGGTAACCTCTGACCACTACAGACATATTTCTATAACATGATCAGCAAATAACTTGAGTTATATCACATAAATTGGATAATAAAGACACACACATAAATTTTAACAATCACTCAGCTTAAGAGAAAAAGCCTTCCTTTTATTGTTTCAAAATTTTAACTGTAAAATGCTTTTATGAACAAATTTTGTAATCATTCTTCCACATTGTTATTTTCTGTAGAGATTATGGATTTTCAATTACATTTGTTTTTTCAACAAATCATCAAAGTATAAAACTGTTCAACTCCTTTTGATCATGTAGTCAGAATACAGGAGTATTTTTTCATTGACTTTAATATTTAATTTTGTTACATTTAATGAATATATTTCTATTTCTACTGTATTTCATAACAAGACACATTCAAATTGAGTAACATGTCCTAAAATTGTTTTATATTAACTCTTAAAATCCACTTATTTAGCCAGACTTTATATTTTCTAAAGTTTCCTATTTTGTCAATTTCTAATATAAGTATTTCCATGAAGTGATATCAATTTCTCAAACTACCAACATACAAAAACAGAAGTTCAATAAAATGAATAAAAATTCAAAGATAAAGAATTTAAACTTACATCTCCTTTTGATTTCTGTTTAGTTACACTTTTGCTTTTTTTGGTTGAGGTGCCCTTTTGAGAGCCCTCTTTGTGACTTCCCTTAGCTTCCTGTAAAAAGCATAAAATATTTTAAATATAAACAATTTTAAAGAAAGCATAACATAAAACATTATGGAAGCACCAACTTTAGTTCAATGTGTTCTAGCATGTTTGAAAGGAGAGCATTACTACCTGCTTTTCCAATGACTGGATTTTGAGTCAAGTGATATGCAAAGGATTGAACAGAAAAAGAAAAAAATATCAAATATGTCTGAAACATTTTAATAACTAAGAATAAGTAGAATAAGCTTAGTATAAAAGAAAATAACAAGCAGAATCCATCTATTTCTAAATAAATAAATGACAAATTCTGTCTGTCTGTCCATGTGTATGAAACTCCTCTAAATTGCTCTACATAGACATATAACTTTTTGAAATCAGGATGATCCTGGAATTGAAAATCTGCCCTTCATCTGGTGCTTAAACATCCAGCATTGGGATTTGTGTCCAGATGAGGAGGGAACAGTTAAAATTAAAATTAAAAAATAACTGAAAATAATTAGTGATTTTAAAAATTCTTAATTTATACTGAGTTTAAAGTGACACAAAAACTATGTGAATATAAAAATTTTTGTTTTAAAATATCTCCGAAATTTTGTGAATTGAGGGAATCAATTTTATTTCTTCAAAATGCCAAAGAATCAGAGTTAAAGTGAGAAGTTGTAAGCGTTCTGAAAGCAAAGGAAGTAGTTGTCACAGATTACTTCCACAACACAAAGAAAAATCACTGTAAGTACAGACTCGAATATTGGGGGGCAGAAAGAAATGCTGAAAACTCGATTCGCCGGTACTATCTCAAATCACAATGCGTGTAACCAGTCAGAAAAATAACTCACTCGCTAACAAACGCCGTAGCCAAAAATGCCCGAATTTTCCGCTCTCGAATCGAGAACACCAACTGCTTTTATCGGCAGAACCTATTTTTTTCATTCGTCGACAGCTGGGATAGGATGTTCAGTAATTTGCATATCAAAATACTTTTATAGCGACTCCTGTGACGGACTTGTTTTTTTTAATTCAAATATTCCATTTTCAGCATGTTATGCGGAATACGTGCCTTTTTGTTTGGTAAGTAATTTTCTTTTTCGCCACTTTTTCCGTCGTAGAATACATAGACGCGCTGTTGCTTGGTTTGACGAGGTAAGTCGCCGTTTTCTTTGCTATAGAAGTTTTGTGACGTAAGGTTTTGAAGTTCCACAGAATTTATGATTTGAAGAACTCAATTTTCTGCCTGAATTGGAATTTCAGCCCAAATCAGTCTTTTTGGCTGGAATTGGACTATAATCCAAATCAGAGTTAAAGTGAAGTTTTGAAGTCCCATGAAGTGAATTGAGGAATTCAAAGTTATTTCTTCAAACTTATCATTGCTGTTTTCTAAGCTGGACCAGAGTTCCCTTTAGTTTGGGGCCAAAACCCAATTATACCTCAGTAGGAGCTACCTTAAAAGTCCACACAGAATGTGGCTTTTAAGCTAGTATTGAATAAAGAAACGATTTTTTTTAAAATAGGGAATGAATTTTATTAGTATTAAAAAATGTATTTGTCATCATTTCTCAACAACACAATTCTGTGGTCGGATTACTACAGAAAACATAAAAAATGCTCTGCATAGTGAATTGTTTAAAGATAATTATTTTCATTGATTATTTTTATATTTTAATTTATACTCAAGCAGAATAATATCTTTATTAATTCATAAAATGTATTTTTTCTATTGAAAAAGGTAAGTTTTCATTTTTTTTTTGTAAGTGAAATGCACCAGTCAATCCCAGATAATATGAGAGTATCTTTTATTATTTATAGAATAGCAACACAAAGAAAATGCAAAGCAAGCCAGAAATGTCCATTCAAATGAAATCAATTATTTTTCCAGTTGTTTTCAGTACTTAAACCTGAGCAGATTCCATGTCCTCTCCAATTTAAAATCTATAGAAATTTCATAAACCATTTGAATATTTTTTATTAGTTATAAAACAATCATTTGAAAACTTTCCTTTTGGTTTTTGATTCATTCACTAATGGATCTGAATCTTTGGCATCGGAGTATTACAAGTCTGGTTAGTCACACAAGTGATATTGAAAATCATCCAAGACTAATGCCACCAGCAGAAGAAATCATTACTGAAGAATAAACTGAATTTGACTGTGGAAGAAGCACTGCAGAACAAACATTTGATCTCAGTGTTCCATGCAAAAAATATTTGCAACACCAACAAACTCTCTACCACATATTCAAAGATTTCACTTTCACTTATATACAAATACCCTTGGGAGAGATATGAATCACCCCACCAGCTTTGTATCTAGAAAAATCATTTTTATTCTCCAATATGAACATTTCGGAGTGTTTGAGTGACAATCTGAGGATAGTGCAGCAGATGCTGTGTCCCCAAAAAATGAACTGAATGTGATGAAAACCAAATATCGAGTCAACATCATGGTGTTTGGAGTGATCACCAGTGATAGCGACGTTATACCTCCATTCATCTTTCCACAGGGCCTCAAATTGTACATGGATGTCTACATCAAATGCCTTGAGGAGATAGTGCTGTCCTGGGTCAAGTGGGTGTCTGCTGGAAGACCCTATGTCTGGCAACAGGACTCTGCACCATACCACACAAGCAGAAGAACCAAGTCATGGCTGTCAGACAATTTCTGTGACCACATCACCCTTTACATCTGTCCACCTAACTCCCCAGACTGAAAACCTCTTGATTATTTATTATATGTGGGGTGCAGTTAAGTGAGAAAACAACAAAACTTCTTGTAACACCAAAGATGAACTGAAGGCAAGGATTATGGCAGTATTCACCAACTTAAACAAATAGACTGTCCAGAAGAGTTGCAGGAGATTCCAAAGTCGTTTGGAGGCTGTGGTTGAGGCCAATGGTGATTTTATTGAATAAATTTACTCTTTAGTATTTCAAGATATTTTTGTGTAATTTTGGTAAATATATCTGTTAAAATGAGATGTCAAGGTTAGTTCCATTTTTACATAGTTTAGACGACAATTACCTTTGTTTTTTTGTTATTCTCTGCCAGTGCCAACACATTAATATGCTCCACAAAATGAACAATTAAAATAAAATGCACCTGAAAAAGATTTAATTTGTTGATAACAAAATTTCCAACAAGGTTAACAGTTTATACCCATGCTTGAGATTTTGCTACAAGTCTCAGCCTGAAGTAGATACATAAATGGCAGTAATAGGATTGTTTTTGTTGCAACAAACAAACCATCTTGAGGCTTCTCTTATTTCTTTTTAAAAAACACAGTTCAAAAAGCGAACCAAGATTATTAAAATTTATGAGGGGGTGCTGAAAAGTTCTTGCTCTTGCCCAATTCCCAAAATGGCCACAGAGTGAATTTTTTTAATCTCTTATTGGTTGGGCTAAAGAACTTTTTAGCACCTCCTTGTATTATTGCAGACCGATTTCATTTTGAAAATATTTGATCTGTAAAATATATAAATATTATTTGGCAGTATTTTTCAGCATTTATGGACTCCAATTAACAATAAAGGCACTCAGTTGATCTATTAGCACCGTTTCAGTTAATGACAATAAAAAAATTAAAAATCAACAAGTTTTCTGTACCTCCCATTCTAAAGAATGTTGGAGGAAACTTGTTGCTATTTTGATGGATCAAGGTAATGAGCCATCATTGCTTTCATTCCAATTCCAGATCATAGTTTTTGAAAGGTTTATCTAGAGTCCTATTTTCTTGGAAGAGGATGTTGATTATTTTCGTTCAAGATCATTCTTATCCTAACTATGAATATCAATGATATTGGAATACCCAGATCCTTTTCCTCATCATCTGTACATTGGTCATGGGAGGGTAAGCAGGAATGCTGTTTTATATTAGTAGATCAGGATGTGGCATAGAATGTTTAAATGATCAGTGCCTATCTCTACACATCTGTGCTTGTATATGTGCAGTTGCATGAGATTAAATTGATCAGAGCTCTCCGTTCCTCCTTGTTGTACTTCTCATGAGGTTTGACATAATTTAGTGTTTGGGTCTTCACCACACATATAGGACTTTTATTTTTATTATTTTATTAACAAAGTAGAAAGTGTAAACTATGTTGTTTATATTTTGATGTTTATTTAGGCTTACTATGAATTCCAATTCTCAAATCAGGACAACATTCTTGTATGATAAAATGTTTTTATGTCCCAACACCCACATACTTGTACAAAAAAAAAATTGAATACTGATAGATAATATTAACAGCATGTAATATCAGTACTCCTCTGTGGTGGTGAATGTAGGACAATTTCCTCACAGATGAAGAAGAGACTTGAGGTAACAGAAATTTGGTCCTTCAGCAGGATATCATGGACTGAACATGAGAGTACCAAAAATTTTTAAGGATAATGGAAACAAAAGGGACACTTTATTTTGAATCAGAGAGTTGAAATTTCTTAAACTTATAATGAGGAAAGAGTGCCTGAAGAATCTGACACTCACAAGACATACTGAAGGCAAAAGGGACGGAGGAAAGCAGTGACTAACCTAACTAAAAAGCTTGATTAAATGGATGACAGAACAGGGACTGAGAGAGATAATGAAAAATCAAAGATTGTTAGGAGATACAAAGGATAGGAAGTAGTGAAAAAGCATGATTCTTTATATCCTGAAAGGTCAGGGCCCATAGAAGAAGAATATAACTGGGACAAACTTCTCAAATTGGGGCAATCCCTGGCCAATCCCTCGGATATATGGCAAGCCGTTTTTTTATCCCATCATTAGAACAATTACATTTTAAGAATGATGAAATTAAACAAGAAAATCATAACAATGAAATAGGAAAAACTAATTTCTTTTCTTGTTTGTTTCTTCTTCTATTCTTTCTACTTCTGCTAATAAATGTGAACTAAAACAAAACAAAAAACTTAAAAAGTTTAATGAAAAGTGTTTTGATAGTTTCTGAATATTTAAAGCAAAAAGGTGATTAATATTTTTTTGACATAGAATTCAGTTAATTCATAAAAATATATCC